GTTGTTATTACCTGAATCCATTCGTGCCAAATAAAAAATCTATGGCTATAGTCGTCTGGTGGATGAAGGTCGCTAACCTCCATGGCGGATGTTCGACAACACACCGGGCGTCTCAAAAAGGAATGAGAGAATAATGTCCCACGTGCTCTTGTTCTTCTCACCGCGGTCCATATAATCCATCGTATCCATATTCTTGGCTTGAGAAAATGTCTGTACCAAAGCACTGTTTCTTTCCACTCTCCCGGTTCCCGACTAACGTTCATCATGGCCTCTCACTTCCCTCGATCATTCCTCAACCCTCTTTTTTTTCCTAATGCCAACCCTACAGCCCACTCTTTTGAGATCAGGCCTCGTTACCTTCAAAACCATTCTTAAGTCTGTGCTGCACCATGTAAAGAGCCATGTCGGTATCGGAATAGTATGCTCTGTGGCCTATTTTGATCCGTACGCGCCAGATCCCTCACCAAAATAGATCTATGTTACTTACCATTAATTTTATAGAGGAAACTGGAGGTGACTTTACCTCCTTCTAACCTGCACGCTGCACCTGACTCCTATTAGTGTTGATCTCCAGGCCGGAGCTAACTTTGGCTACAGACCGATGCTCTTCGTGCTCCTTCTTTCCGGATTGGGCGCGATGGTACTACAAGTGAGTAACGACTGAATCTCATGTCGACCTGACTCCAAGTTCATTCATTGTTAGACTTTGGCATGCAAGCTAGGATGCGTAACAGGAATAGGTAAAATTTGATTTCAGTGCAACTGCTATGTAGTATTCATCTGTCCCTCGAAAGATTTGGCTTCTCATTGTCGGCTGCTCCTTCATGACCATCCGACACATCCTCGCTTAGTGCGACGTATGGTCATGTATCCTCTCTATATATGCGCGGAGTTTGCCATTATCTCAACAGACCTAGCAGAGGTTCTCGGATCTGCGATTGGCATTTGCCTGATTTTTCCGAGTCTTCCTTTATGGGCGGGAGTTATTCTAACCGCCCTGGATGTCCTTGTCTTTCTTCTTTTCTCAGATCCTTCCAGGGGACAAGGCAAGCCAGTCAGAGTTTTCGAGTTGATAATAATGACGCTGGTGAGTCATCATTATCGCGAACATCCTGAAGGCACGATCAATTATTGTACTCTCAGGTTTTTGCTGTCTTTGCCTGTTTTATCGTTTTACTACTCCGAGTTCATCCACGATGGGCCGGTGTTTTTTTAGGATATATCCCAGACAAAAAGCTGTTCCAAAGCCACCCAAACGCTCTATATGCCGGTATGGATATTTAGGTTTTTCTAAGATAAACTGAACTCACAAGGATGTAGCCGTTGGTATCCTTGGAGCAACTATAATGCCTCATGCTCTCTTCTTGGGGTCTTTTCTTGCTACTCAAGATCGCGAAGCTTTTCACAAACCGACACCTGCGAACCTTCCTGAACCCTTGAATCGGAAGATGCTCAAAAGAAATACGAAGACATATTTCATGGATCTTTTCCGTATAACTTCAGCAGAGCGGGCTGCCGCTGCAAAGGACTATAGGTCCAGATACGGGGTTCGAGAAAATAACACGCTCTCGTTTGTCAAACGACATCTTAATCATATAGTTATCGACGTATGCTCCAGCATTTTGGTCTTCGCTGTTCCGATCAACTCCGCGTGAGTGAAAATCTTTCGATAGTTGATTTCCCTAACATCAGAGTCCGAATTAGTATTCTCATTCTCTCCGCCACAGTCTTTTTCGATCAAGTATCATCCAAGGGCATGGGAGGGGTGACTATTGGGCTCTTTGACGCTCATGCTCTTATACATGCACGTATCGGATCAGGTATTCTTCACCGTTGTATGCAACGCATCCTTGTCTAAAGCAACTTCTATAGGCTCGGCTTTTCTGTTTGCGCTGGCACTCGTAGTTGCAGGGCAATCGTCTAGTATCACTGCAACACTTGCAGGGCAAGTAGTTGGAGAAGGGTTCATCGAATGGAGAGTCTCAGTAGGCTTTTCCTATCCTTGCTTGGCGTTGACCCCAGACCTGATTAAACCTTGAAGCCATTCCTACGACGGCTTCTAACACGTTCAATCAGCCTTATTCCATCAGTGGTAGTGGCTATTGCTGTTGGACGCAATGGCATTGACAATCTACTCGTCATTTCGCAGGTTGTTTTGTCTGTGGCGCTCCCTTTCGTCGCATTCCCTTTGATATACCTAACGTCTTCGAAGGTGGTGATGAGAGTGCAAAAACCTCCGTCAATTCCATCAGCTGTAGAGACGTTCGATTTTGAGAGCACATCTGTTCACGCAAGTGAAATTGCTGCGAATAATTCGGAACCCTCCCTCCATGGCAGCATACAGGAAGTGGACGTTGAAGAGTCAACAAACTCATCACGCAATTCTACTAGAACGCCGACACATAAATCCGAAATCGAAGAGATTTCTGACGCTATATCTATCGATAATATAGAATACATCGACTACAGCAACAGTCGACTCATGTCGGCGTTGGCGTACTTGATATGGGCTGTGATCTTGATCACAAATGTATATACTATGGTCGCTCTCGGACTAGGTGATACGTGAGTTGGGACCCCAAAACAGACTGTAGGAATGTACTTTGTAAAATTCAAGTCAAAGGTATCTATTCTGCCTCGTTGCTCCTAAGAATACAAACACCCAACCAGAACTTGTTTCTCGATCATTTCATCGCTGCCAATACACAATGTATAGGTGAGTTCCGCTTTGTATGATCGAGGGCATGCCAATGGCGAGTTCCCTCTCGAAAATTCACCCATGCAAGGAAGCCAGGCTCAAGGGATCAGCGCTCAAAACTTCAGTGTTTGAGGCTAATCTTCCTTTTGACAGACAGGACGCACGAATAGTGTGACCGGTACCGGTTGTGAATTGAAGAATGCAGAATGTCAATTGACGCCACTTGTGTGGTTACACTGGATGCGGATCAAGTTTCTAACTCGAGTCGGTCAATTGTGCACATCATGTATCCGGTTGATCTCAAGCACCCTTTCGATGGAGTTGGGACAAAAAGTTGAGCAACCACGGATGGCGATTATTAACCGTGTTGCTCCTGGAGGTGTTCTGTTTTTTTTTTGGCCGATGAATCTATTTTAATTGTATGCAGACAAGAATTTCGTTCTTGTTATGAATACGATGGCGACAATATAGACATAAAGATTGACCAAAAGAGAGCAGGCAAACCAGTGCGGAGGACACGCAAACTACGACCCTGTAAATAGAAAAACGACAAATGCATAAACAATAAGTCAAAAGATTCAGCTCGAGATCGCGATCGTCGCTGGGCCGAGAAAGAACTAGGTAGAACAAAACTACTACATACTAATTGCCTACCAATAGACTCCAGGGCGGTACGATACGTGATACAACGAAAGACAAAAGATGTTCGGCATGCCAATGCCCGTTAGGTATACGTGTACATACATTAACGACATCGAGGAAATTGCACATGAGGGAGCCGGAAAACATATTGCTGAACGGGCTTGCCAAACGAGCGTGAGTCTTCGGCCGTGAAGCTAAAAAAAGCACTGGCGAGTGAGAAGAGCAGAGAGAGTGATTTATTCATAGCATACGTACGCGAAGAGAGGACTGAATTCTGTGAGATGGACGAGGTTACTTGACTTTGTCTCCGCAATCGCAAGTGATCCGACTCCCAACGGAACTCTTCCCACAGCTATCGCACCAGTTACGTCCGCCTTTGTCCACTCCAATCGACTTCTTCGATATTGCAGAATGGGCAGAAGAGCAAACGGATTCATCGCGATGGATGCTGATTAAATGGCGACCAAGATCATGCTTGCGGCTGAAAGATCGCCCACATGCGCGGTGTGGGCAGACATGGGGCTTCAGCCTGTTAGGATCATGGGTGGCCATGTGGGTCTTCAGGTTGTAAGCTCGAGCAAAAGCTACAGATGAAAAATGTGAGCATCAACAAAAGAAAAAGAAAACAGACAGTCGAAATCGACATACCGCGAGGACACACGTTGCATTTGTATTTTTTGCGAGGGTCGCCTTTATAATCTTCTTCTGAGGGAATCAAAGGTATTGAAGGGACGACTGGCAGCGGAGAGGGGCCAGTTGCAGGAGACACTGCAACACCATAATTGGCCAATTGGTTATAATAGTCATTGGTCATTGAACTACGAGCAGGGCCGTAGTCAGAGAAGCTGCTTCGAGGAACGTAAGGCTTTGAAGCAACCTGGGCGCGGTTAGGAGGACTTCGAGGAGGCGTAGGAGGCAAAGTGGTATTGAATACAGTGGTTGGATCAACGCTGTCTATTCCATTGAGAACCTGCGCTTGCGCAAGAGCCTGAGCGGTCGCATAGGGATCTACAGATATGCGCTGAAAGTCCATTTCAAAGTCGAGAGGGAAGGAATAATGGGAACTGGAGTGGGGAGAATAGCTGTATACTGACTCCGAGTGTGCGGAGAGCGAGTCGTAGGCGGATTCGGATGATACTGTCAAGGTCGATGGTGGACCACAAGTAGGGGTGTCTGAGCGTAGAAACTGGAAAGCGTCATTCTCTACGGTTAAGAGTTCGAGGTTAATGTCCTCTAGCCCAGCGAGGGCATCAAGATCGGTATCGAATTCATCAGGCAGGGGAGCTAGCGGGTCCGCAGAAGCGTGGTACGAGAAGTCAAAAGCCTGGTGGTACTGCTGCTGTTGTTGGCGTTTATACAAGTCATATTGGTTTGGTGCAACATTGTAAGTGGCATGTTCTGTGGACATGATGAGGTCGTTGACAGATGAGCCGATTGGTATAGGTTTGGACAATTTGTTGGAGCTTAAGCCTGTTAGAGGGGGGATCTGACGAAAGCTGTTACCAACTTGGTGGGGGAGCTTTTGAGTTTCCGCAGTTGATTCACACGGTAAGACTTGATCAAAGTGATATATATGTTTCTTGATTTCACGGCCGCCGACCAACCGACTCGTCGCACACCTATGTATACCTAAAAAGGTAAAAGTTACATAAGCAATTCTAGCCCACCGCGAGGGTCGAACTCGCAGCCTTCAGATTTAGACTGTCCCGCCTTAAAAGTCTGACGCTCTATCCGATTGAGCTAGGCGGGCTTCATTAAATTAATTGTAGTGCAATAGACATAGTTTTCTAGAAGAGCATGAACCGTCACTACCGAAATGACAACAATCAGTTGAAGTTTGAATTGTGCCAGTGATAGGTTTTCGAAATGGATCTTGAGACCGATAGCTCTGACTTTGCACCCACCATTTCAGCTCATCGCCTTTCATCTTACATATATCATCATATTTCTCATCACATTTCCTTTGTTGTCCACCCCATATCTATGGCCTGGTAACCTCTGATAGCCACTGCTCTGATATAAAGTTCATGCTGTGCTAGCGAGCATCGCGCTGCACAACAACATAGCTAAGTGGTCTCAACATGGCCCTGCGCCAGTTCGGGTCCTTGTTAATCCGAGCCATACATACCTTTTAAATCCCTCCAAAATCAGTTCAATACAGGTGCTGAAAAAAACTCAAAATATCGACTCCGAGATCCCGAGAATCGTTTACATGAGCAAGTTTCGCTATCACACCGTCTGCACACTGCATTCTGACAACGGATGACTTCCTGTAAACTTCCTTCCTGACACTCGTATTGATCTCAGTGAGAGGATTAGATGCGACAAGTGATACGCGGCTCGCTTGAAGCAAAAATCGTGCAAAACCAATCATACAAGAGGGTCCTGAGCTGTCATCCATTGAATTTAACTAAAGCTCGCTGGCTTGCTTTTTTTTCATCTTCACCCTGCCCTAAGCAAGTAAGTGAGACTATTATCAACGCGCACCTACTGTTGCTCAAAATTCTCTGCATCGACAGATAAATTCGCTGGTCAAATTTGCTACATATCTGCTTGTATGTATCTTTTCTCTTATCATCCAACACGACGTCCTGATATTGCTAATCGTAGCTTGTATCCCTGACTTTGTTTTATTGTTCTTGTGATCATGCTCCTCTCCACGCTATATCCTGCGCATTCATCGTTTGCGGTCCTTCTACTCCTTCTCCTCTCGGTTGTTTTCGAGGTCATGGTTATGGCCACGCCCATCGCAGTCCGCAATGCCATAGCAAACCCATCACAGCTGGAACGGCGCGATCGTAGGTTTTTTTTCTCAACTCGACACACCGTGTCTTGAAACATCTATCTAGTCAAACATGGTGTTGTGCTCAGACGGCGTGACAATAAAGACAAGGCCATTCGAAGCAAACTTCTCGAAGACGATGAAAATTGGTACCTATACATCGGCATGACGGAAGGATTTTATGCTGTGCCAGTCTCGGGAACCAACGACCAATGGAAGGTGCTCAACACTAACGTGGATTCACAGTCTGGCATCAAGCTAGGATCCATTTCTTTTCCACGAACACAGGTCAGGACAGAATTTTACGAAGAAATCCCACAGTTGAAACTCCCATCGAATTGCGGGAAATACAAAGCAATCGACATAATACTGGAGTACATTGGAGCGGATGAGCGTAAAGCAAAGGGGATAGTCTTCAACCCCGAAGAGGGAGATCCTTGGCAAATATACACGGCGATGACGAATCCCAAGGAGTATACAGGGGGTATATACCGGAAGTTACCGAAGGGTCAAAAGCGGAAAAAATCGAAACCACCAACTTCGGAGGTGGAATTTAGGCCGCAGAATGGGGGCGCTGAGGGGAGCAATGTGACTCATGACTACTCCAATGCGACTCATGACTACTCCAATGCGACTCATGACTACTACAATGCGACTCATGACTACTACTACTGGACGAACGACGAGAGGAAATGAGGATAAAGGAAACATATGATCTCATTTCCGGAGCGACGCATGTTGTTCGGGGGCTTGTAGGGGACGAAACGAAGAGGTTGCTATAGCCTGATATCCCTGATCCCTTCAGACCAGTAGTTCTATCATTTCCATTTCCGAAAATCGAGTATGAGTTGGCCGCGAGATGGTGTCTCCTCAAGCAAGCAAGCTAGGGATGATGAGTAAAAGATGTTCCATTCAAATATCTTTGAGAGATAGAATCGGCACCTAGTACGGACTTGTAAGAGTACGTGCTGCAAAACGTACTCTCACTGAATCCTGATAATGTCAGTGTCGAAGTACGACAGACAGGTAGAAGCACTGGTCGAGCGAGCACAAAGTTCCGGATGCAATTGAAAGAGGGCACAAGGACCAGATGTTGTCCACTACATCTTTTACAGAAAGTGCAACCGGAGAGGCTGATCCTATATACTAAAAAGCGACGGGTTAGGCGCCCAAGTAATTTACATAAGCAGCTCTAGGATCCTGCCGCAGAGCGGCGGCGCGGAGCGCCCACAATATTTGCCGCGAAGCGGCACAGTAGCCACTATACTCAGCCTTACTGTATGGTTCAAGATAGACATAGACTCAATGATAACACTGACATTTGTTGTTACTAATAGTGTCATTATCCTCAAAGTATCTGATAAGTGTGGTGTGTTGTACATATATGAAATGATACAGTGTATGGCAACTTGGAATGCCTGCATTCAATGTCTGGAGAAAGTCATGCATATCACAACTCTGACAATGCTCATGCCAGTGATTTTTGGTATCCTATTGAGTATCTCAACAGTATCAATGGCTCTGGACTTCCTCTTTAAAATTGAAAATGATACTCAGGAATCTGGATCCAACTGCCAGCATCTGCAATAACACTTGGGCATTAATTCAAAGCCATAACTAATAATAAGTTGCAAAGCAAGGACTAATGGGGTTTTGGGGGCTTGAGATCTGCAGAACCTGTATTTTTGGCTAAGGGTTTGAAAGCACTGGGATTTGCTGGGATCTGCTCTCAGTGCTTAGCTGAATATCCAGGTTTTGCAGATGGACGTTGAACAAGCTGTGAACACAGCTGTAGCTTGCAGCATGAGCAAAGCAAGCTACCATAGTGAAGGCACAAGTGCTCTCCATCCAGTACCCTTGGTCAGGCAAATATACAGACATTGTTAAGATCATGTACACCATGCAACCGTGCCAGAGGCTACAAGGTATCTAAGTGCAGAGGGTCGAGTGGGACAGTAGTGAAGTTATTAACAACACCGCCGTTACACCATTAGTCCCTGGAGAATGAGAACAGAGAAGGTGAGAACCAGGAGCAGCCAAGTCGGAGCGGCGGTAACACCGATGATGGGGAGCAAACCAAAGAACTTCTAAGTCCTAAGAGCGAGAAGTACTTCAAGGCAACAAGCCTGAAGACTTATAGGTGAGAGAGGATGAACTCAGTGTTAAGATCATGTACACCGAGTAACCGTGCCAGGGGCTACAAGGTGTCGAAGGGCGGAGGGTCAAATGGGACAGTAGTGAAGCTATTAACAACACCACCATTATGCCGTTAGTCCCCGGAGATCAAGAGTAGAGAAGAGAGGAACCAGAAGCAGCCAAGTCGGAGCGGCAGTATTGCCGGTGATGAGGAGTGAACCAAAGAACTTATAAGTCCTAAGGCTAGAGTAGCAAGTACTTCAAGGCAACGAGCCTGAAGACTAGAGAGTGACGAGAGTACAGAGAGAGACTCAAGTTGAGGATGTTAATAGAGTGATCTAAGATGATAATTAAACTGAGGAACTACTGTAGTGTACAGGCAGTATTTATATCTACAGATCGGCATATTGGAGCAGAATGCCAGACTAACTACTAGGAGCTATACGTGTAGTACCTGCAGGGTAAGTAAAAGACAATAAGGAGAGACTAGGTTGAAAGGGTATGTGTAGCAAGAAAGGACAATAAGAAGGAGATTACAGTAAAGAGTGGATCTCGGAGTACTGAGCGGCAGAATGGGACACCGAGGCATGGACTTGACACTCAGTTGGAGAGAAGAATCTAAGTTGATAATTAAACTGAGGAACTACAGTATCGTACAGGCAGTATTTATATCTACGGATCAGCACATTGGTGCAGAGCGCCAGACTAACTACTAGGAGCTATACATGTAGTACCTGCAGGGTAAAGTAAAAGACAATAAGGAGAGACTAGAAGGAATGGGTATGTGTAGTGAGAAAGAACAATAAGGAGAAAATTACAATAAAGAGTATATCTCAGGATACCAAGCGGCGGGGCAAGGTGCCGAGGCATGGGCTTGACAGACATGAAGTACAATGGTGTTAAAGCTCTGTTTAGTGAAGATAAGTCTCTGGACATTGCTTTACTACAGATAGTGTGTACCCAGAAGTTCTTTTAGAAATGAAATGTATGTTGTTGTCAATGAAAATAGCTCATAACACTACACAATGAATCTGAAAGTATGGAGGCGCAAGGCACCGGCCAAGGGGGGTTTGGGGGCTTGCCCCCAACAAGCTGTGAACCCTGCTGTAGCACACGGTGCGAGCAAAGCGAGCCACCGTGGCAAAGGCACGGGTTCTAAAGCTTGTTGATGATGAAGAATAGATGTCGCGCCCCGTAAATAAAACTTCTATTCCTTTTCATGAAGCCACGATTGCCTTCTACTGCATAATCCTATGCTATTCTACATTTTTTACAGTTACAACTACACAGGTAAAGGACCAACAAAATCGAAAGCATCCCAGAAAACGTCACACTCCCACCCTAATGAACAGAAAAAATCAGTCATTGGCTCGTAATGAGGATTGCTCAACGCACCTATGAACAACCTTCTTCTGATTTGAAAATCGGATGATTTCTCTCTTCTCCATAATGAACAGGGTTCTCTCAAGAGCATGACTCGAGCACCCCTGCTGTGTCACAAACTCTTTTACAAGGCTTTGATAACTTGTACTCCACCCCACGGGCAAGCGTCTCCTCATCTCCTTTTCAATCCGAACCATCTCCTCGTTCAACTCTCCACGAGACATACCATCCGCTGAACCAGCAGATACAGCGTCCATAGTGGAGAATTTGAACAGTCGGATAGCTTCTTCGACGTGATGGTTCTGAACTACGGGTGAGAGTGTCATCTTTGCTAGAGACTCGGATATCCGAATGATTGCTTCCAGTTGACTGGCGGTACGTACAATAACGTCAGGAAGAGGATAATCATGAAAAGTGGGACACTGACCGCACGGTGATCGGGATAGAAC